TCCTACTTCTTTTAATTCCCAAGGAATGACATGAGAAATAAGGAAAAAAGAAAAACTGCCTTTGGGCAAAGTTGTAGCATCTCTTTTTTCCTCATGACCTGTCACAGAACCTGAGCTAAAGCCCAGAATGTGGCCCTGGTAGATCTTGTCCCCACCTCATCTCCTGTTACTGAGGACTTTATAAGGCAAAGACTTCTTTAGAAATACAGTGAAGTTCTCTTGGTGGATCTCAGGAAAAATGCACCAGTCAGGAAGAGGATTTCTGCTTTGCAGACATAGGACTTTCCCCCACAGAATCTGCAGATGCAATATTGAATTTTGCACGGATCCCCATGGGATCGTGTAGAATGAACCCTGGTTTATTTATGAGGTTATGGGACTCTGCTAAATGGGGACAATTTTGTGTTGTGAGGTCACAGAGATTGAGTTTGGGGGTTTGGATTCCTGTTTGAACATTGTTGGACACACCTGTTTGGCCTAGGCCAGCATGAAGGGTCGTACACTAACTTTGAGTGCTCCTTCAAGTGGTGAAAAGGATGAAATTTCAAATCTCATGAGTCTTTTTTTCACTTTCACTGGAGCCCTGTGGATTTTAGTCTCCTCAGTTGTGTTCAGTTTTGATATCACTTGAAACTCACATTTTTGAACACCTACAGGCTGAAGGCCCCTTTCTAAGTCAGTTGACCAACTGAGTCTTCTAAACTAAGTGACAGGAAAAGTGATCTTTAGTTCACCCCTGCAAAAAGGAATTATAAATGATTATAAATGGTCCCCAGACATGGCACAGATGAGGGAGAAAGTGATTAAAAAAATAGGAATTCACTTTGGGAGGAACCAGATGATTTGCAAACTCCACCAGGATAACTCTGCAGCCAGCACACATCTGTATCTGAGATGTCTGAAATCCATTTTAAAGCCTAATTTGTATCACTCTGCTTAAATAAAATGACCCCCCCAAACCCCTAAGTTAATGTTGCTTTTCCTTAAATACATGAGCAGCTTCAGTCTATTTTTGAGGGCTGTGGAGAGTGCAAACACCTCCCAAAATCCCAGACTCCAGGAGGACTTTGCAAAAGGAAGGCTTATGCTGCTTATCTCTCTCAGATCAACTGTAGGATTATCAAGGAGATGGACACAGCATCTGTGGAGAGATGTGGGGTTTTTTGGAGGGAGAGACCCTATGCTGAAAACTGCAGCCTCATACAGGCAGAAATCTTTGTTTAAAGAACTCGTGACATGAGTGGAAGGACGTTGGTGCTTCAGCTAAATCTCATTAAGCTTTAAAGAAGCCATGTAAAAAAAAAAAAATTAAAAACTGAGTGGAAGCAAACCTCTTTAAGAGGAGATTTATGCCAAACTGGAATGCCTCTCACCTCCCTGTCTGCCTAGAGGCTGAGTGTCTCCTTTAAGCTGGTTTGATCTGCTCCTTCCCACTTGGCACGGAGGAAGCAGCACCTCTGTGGGGTGAAGGGGTTAAGGATGGTTTGTTCTGCAAGGAGTGAGGTGGATTATCTGCTGTGAGTGATTATGGAATGAGGATCTGGGTTGCTGAGTTTTTTCTGTTGTTAATGCTATGTTTTCCCCCTGCAAATACATGATTTAATTAATGGGGAAGCCCTCTGGCCGTTATTGCCCAGGAGTCTGAGGATGGACACCCTTTTATCTTCTCCTAAACCTCAAACACAGTGAGGGTGACTGAGGGACAATGCTGCATCCCCTCCAGCATCCCTTCCCCTCCTTCAGTCTGACCCCAAGGATAGGTATAAATGCATCAGATTCCTTGGAGAAAGGGGCTGCTGCCGGTTGAGCATCTCATCCCACCTCCTTTAGCTGCTTTGGGCATGAGCTGTTCCACATGTTGGATCCATCCTTATTCCCTCACCTTCTCTTGACTCTGCTTTGGGCTCACCCAGCTGTGGTTGTAGCAGATAAATCCTCCACAGAGGGGCTGCCTACCAACACCAGCTCCTTCCACATGGATATTCAGGAGCTGATGTTGCTCCATTTGCTCCACCAAGCAAATAATTCCAGCTCAGGCTCTCAACATTCACCTTCCACTGCCCACTTGATGGAGTTCTCACCTCTTTTCTCTCAATGCTCCCTTCTGTTGTTCCTCAGACAAGGGCAGCTAAGCTGGGATCTGCTCTGTCTTGTGCTGGGGATATGATGAAGGAATGAATCCTGACACTCATGAAATCCCAGCTTGAATCTTGTCCCAAGTTTTACTGAGGCTGGGTCTTGACCTCAAATTCCAGCCCCAGCACTTCTGCTGCTGGACATTCTCACTTTTGAGTGAAACTCCTCTGTTCTTTGGGTACTGAAGGAACAACAGACACAGGTCCCACCCAACCCTCTCACACAGGTACCTCTGATGGTCAAAAAGCACTTGCAAGGCATGATGAAGTTTTTCTTTTCTTTCTTTCACCCATCCAATAGATTGAAACCCAGGAAATTAAGCATTATCCTGGTTGTATCACTTCCTACTCATCCTTCCAAGATCAGCCCTTTCTACTACCATGCTGTGTGGCAGAAATGCTTTGGAGGAGATGCTCTGGATGTGAGTAAAGACACCCAATCTGTTCACCCTTCTTTCCTCAACAGCTCCCTTAACACAGGAATTAGGAGAAAGAAGCAAAACCTCCTGATAGCCATTCCAATGATTCCCTTTCTAAAGCTCCTTAAATAGAAGTTGTTTGGGGAGAAGTGGAGCCTGGACTTGGCATTACAATCCAAAGAGCAGGGAGGGCTGGGGCTTGGAGGAGGGATGTATGCCACAGGAAATGGTGAACTGACCTTGTCTGGCACTAAATGAATCCATAGGAATCTGTGGGGGAAGTATGGAAGCAGCTGGAGTCTGGACACATCAGTAGGGACAGTACCTGGGCTTTTAAGCCCTTCCCTGGGCTGTTTTCTCACTCCTCAGGGATGCAGCTGATGCTGTCCCTGTTTAAAGGCAGAACTGGCCCCTTCCTGTGACAAGCCACGCTCCCACAGACTCGGTGAGCCAGGAGAGACTCGATTTGATTTTTAAACACACTGCCTTCCTAACAGTATCCATCTCCCTTCACTTTTCCCCTGCTGGAAGTGAAAATCTACGATGCTCCCTTTCACAATGGCTCCTCTCAGCATTTAATTTGCTTTTATATAATTATGGACTGGCTGCGAGGAGGAGAAGGAGAATGAGAAGGAGGAGGAGGAGGTGGAAGAAAGAAGCACTGAACGTGCATGGAGGAGCTCTAGGAATCCTTGCACCGGCGGAGTCAAGGAGTGCTGAGCAAGCTCCGCTGCTCTCATCCATCAGCGCCCGCATCCCTGGCACGGGCGGGGAGGGAGGCAGGGAGAGGATGCACTGGGGACCTGGTGAGCTCAGCTGCTGGAGCGTGGCGAGCAAAGAGCCCTCCAGGGCTCGGGGAGGCAGGCGGGGACGTGCGCTGCCTTGGAAGAGAGCGCTGCCTTGGAAGAGAGAGCGCAGCCGGCTCGGCGCGCTGGATGGAGGAGCGGAGGAACTGCAAAGCCCAGGAAGGGAGGGGAGGGGGATGCTGGAAAAAAAAAATGATGCAGCTCGTTCAGTGGATTAGGCAGCCGTGCCTGGAAGTGGCAAAGTGAAAGAGCCACGGATTTGAAAGCCTGGAGGGATTATTCTCCCGCGTTGTCTGACTCGCGGCACAACACAGAGGCCAACAAACTTCACCCGGCGCTTTCTGCGGCGAGCCCAGCAATCTGCAGAATGCCCTGGCAAACCTCCTGGGCTGTGATTTCTGCATTTTCAGTCGGGTTAATAACGTTGGAAGCAGCAGGAAAAAGGGGGCTGGCAAATGTGAGCCATTCTAGCAGGAGTTGTAGAAAGGCATATTCATCATGTCAGCACTTTGGAGGCCTGGAGAGCTCGTGATGAGAGGTTTCAAGAAAAGACTGCATAAATAGGAGGAGGGAAGCTTCTATAAACAACTGTGATGGACATGCTGGCAATACAGGGGAAAGGGAGCGTGGCTGGCCTTCCTTGATGCTGTAGATAGTGGTGACCTTGGCAAAACCAGCAAAATTTAAACCCCAAAGGAAATTCCAATTTCAGTTCCTGCCTCAGCTCCAAAAACTCCTCAGAAATGACAGGCCCCAACCAGGCTGTCTTTGGGAAGCTGAGTGTCACCCTATGGTGCACGAACTGAACAGAGGCTGAATAACCAAGCAGCTCCACTGCTGGTCCTTGGAAAGGATGGTTGTCCCTCAGGCTGGTCATGCCAGGGCTGGGACAGGGCCATGTCCCCCTTAGCTGGGACAGATGCCCCATGCTCAGCACATCACAGTGGTGGACACTGTGGTGGGCACCAGAATTGGCAAAATATTCCCTATGGAGGCTTCCAAGCCTCCTCTTATCATTTAATTGCCTTTCCAACTAAACCTCCATAACATCCTTGTCCCTACACAATCCTCTCCACTGCCTTCCCCTTCTCTTTTCCTGGGCTTGGTGAGAACCATGGTACCAATGATAAGACCTTTAACTCCTGGGCACTCGTCAGAAAAGGCCCTACAGCATTTAGCTGTTAAACCCCCCTTTTATACACTTAACACCATCAGAGCATTGCATAGGCATTGAACCATTTGTCCTCAAAACACAAACTCAAATCTGGCCAGTTTTATCACCCTACTTATGTAAGGAGGGAAACTGAGGCAAGGAATGGTCGTATTTGCCCAGTGCCAAGCGACAAACAAGTGGTGCCACAGCAGCAAAGCCTGCTTGCCTCCTCCTGACACCACCATCATTCCTTTAGCCTGGACTGGGTGTGGAAGAGCTGAATCCCATCTTTTCCTTGACACTGACTTTTTTTTTTTTTCTCCTCAGAGGAAACGAGCAGAAATTTTACCCAGCGAACTCAGCAGAGATTTGTCCCAAAGCGGCAACCCCCAGCCAGGGTGGGAAGTGTGCAGCACATCCATCAGCTGCTGGGCACTGGGAGCAGAGGGGAGAGGCTGGAAAGGTGGGGAAGAGAGGGACCACTTACATGGTAATGTTTCTGCACGGTTCTTTTGGATCATTATGCAGAGCTGTAGCACCAGTTGAGGGGCGCTCTCGAGGAACGTTTCCAGGAGGCGCAGCATGTTCACGTCTGCATATTCGTACATCATAGCCCAGTAGAAACGCCGCTGGTGTTCCTTCCTCCTCTGGCTCTGGATTCCCAGGTACATTGTTCGGATATACCTGCAGGGAACAGGAGGGAAAAACTGGGTGTGAGATGTTGGAGTTGCAGCAAAATCTGTTTCTGGGTTTCTGGGGAGACATTGGGGTTTGCGTGGTTCTTCCGCTCCTGTCACTGTCATATTTTCTGAGAAATCCCCTTGCCCAGGATTCTTCTCCTGGGAAGCTGAGAAGCCCCAGAGGAAAAGAAAAATATTATCTCATTTGCTTCTCCTTTATTTGGAATGTGGTTTGGAGATTGTTTATCCAATATTATTTAATGACCAATCATGGTCCACCTATGTTGGGACTCTGGAAGCTTTCATGAGTTTTAATTAGTATCTTGTTAAGCCTCCTGCATGTATCATTTCTCTATTCTTTAGTATAGTTTCAGTATAGCATAACATAATAGAACATAACGTAACATATAATAAAATATTATATAATATATAATATATAATATATAATATATATATATTCTATATATAAAAAATATAGAAAATATATATATAAATTAGCCTTCTAAGAACATGGAGTCAGATTCATCAATTTGTCCTTCATCCTGGGACCCAGCAAATACTACATGCTCCCTCCTGTCAGATCTGAGGAAAACTTTTATAATCTGATTAATCATTAATGTTAGAAAAGACCTCCAGGATCATCAAGCCCAGCCTTAAACTGGTTGCCACCCTGAGAACAAGACATAATGAGGTGCATTTGCTACCACCCAAACATGAAGCTTGGGAGTAGGAAATGCTTTTGAAACACAAGAAAACAATCCCTTCACTTAATTTTCATCACAAGAAGAGAACCCACATAAAAAATACTGATCCTAACTCTTGGAAGTGTCTTGACAGACCATCTAAACCCCCTCAGCACTCTGGTAAGGAGCTTCTTACAGACTCCAGAGCTCAAGAAGTGTTTGCACCACGCTCTCAGGCACATTGTGGGATTCCTGAAGTTGTCCAGGTATTGGAATCTGACAATCCTTGTGGGTCTCTTTCAGCTCAGGATATTCTGTGATTCTATGATTTGACCCTGTTTCATCATAGGTGGAGCAACGAGACACCACCTTCACCTGCAGCATGTGTGTGACCCACAGATGTGAAAGGCCACGGTTTGTCACTGGTCAGCTTTGAGACTTTGGGCAATGTTGGAGTACAAGGAGGTGTCTCATGCATGGACAGGCACAGCTCTACCATTGCCTCTGTCTCAGGACTTGTGGCATTTAAGAAAAAATCCTAACAGAGTCCTTTTTAATGCCTGTTGATATCACAGAATCCCAGAATGGTTTGGGTTGGAAGAGACCTTAAAAATCATCTTGTTCCAGCTCCCTGCCATAGGAAGGAGCACCTTCCACTATCCCAGGTTGCTCCAAGCCCTGTCCAGCCCAGCCTTGGACACTTCTAGGGATTGACAATCCAATATTGTGCCTTCTTCCTTCTCATCCTGAATGGTGGCTGTAACCCCGTTTGGGATGGGAACCATTTCACCTAATGCCGACCCTAAAGCTGCTCATCGGAGCCAGTCAGTCGTCGGAAATGTCCCCTCCCGGGACTGTTCATCTGTCCCAGCTCGGCTGCCAGCGCGGCAGAGGGATGAAACGCCTTCTGGAGGCTCTGGGAGGGGCTCCCGGCACAAGCTTTGGGGTTTGGCCAAAACGATTAGATCATCCCCTGCCTCTCGGGCGAGACTGCACAGCCGGGCAGAGCAGGAGGGAAGGGCGAGAGCCTGGAGAGCCTCCGGATCTCCGAATTGCACCAGCAGGGAAGGGGAGCTGGGAGAGAAACAGGGGCAGCTCTGCGAACCCTGTCCTTCATCCAGCATCTTGTCCTTCCTGACCGGCACAGGAGGCGAAAAAAATCCCAAAAAGAGGGACCGCAAGGACACCAAAAAAAATGACGCAGGAAAGCCGCCAGATGGGGCTCGACACTTGAGAAAATGCTGAGCCAGTCACACGACACTGGTGACACTGGTGTGACATCCACAGCAGACCCCGATGGGACGGAGATGGCCATGGGGCACCTGCTCTCCCAAAATGTTCAAATCCACCACCTGCATTTGGAATTTCCATGGAAAGACCCCAACCCCAGGAGCTGCAGCATGACACAGGAATCCTGCCTTCCCTTCAGCCAGGAATTAAATAAATGCAGTTTAGCTGGAAAGGCAAAGTCAGGGCGAGTGTAGTGGCTCAAGGAGAAAGCAGAGAAAAGGAGAATGCAATGGTTTTTGTAATGTCAGTGACACAGGGACAGCAAAAACCAAGTGGTGGTGCCCATAATGTGCTGCCCACTGGCAAAAGCTCCATAACCTCTGCCAAATTCCACCAAATTCCACCAAATCTGTCCTGTAGTCCTGGATGGTTTCTCCCTCCCCATAAGCTCCCATTCCTGCCTGTACACAAAACCAAAACTCCTTTTCAGAAGGTTAAACCACTCATTTCTCATCACCTCAGCCACAGACAAGAAGAATTTGTTGCTTTTCACCCTGCAGCAGTCTTTTACCTGTTTGCACATAGTTGCCATGTAAACCTTTCATTTCTCCAGATTAAAAAAAAAAAAATCACAGTTCCATAGAATCATAGAATTATTAAGGTTTGAAAATATCCCTAAGAACATCGAGTTCAACCATTCCCCCAGCACTGCCAAGGCCACCACTAACCCGTGTCCCCAAGTGCCACATCCACATGGCTTTTAAGTCCCTCCAGAGATGAGGACTCTCCCTGACCAGCCACTTCCAGTGCTTGATAACCCTTTCCCTGAAGGAATTCTTCCTGATGTCCAACCTGAACCTTCCCTTGTGCAACTTGATGCTGTTTCCTCTCATCCTGTCCCTTGTTCCCTGGCAGTAGAGCCCAATCCTCCCAGCTGCCCCCTCCTGTCAAGAAGGTCCCCCTTGAACCTCCTTTTCTCCAGAAAAGAAATTATTTCAGTGCCTTCTCACAGTTCCTATTTCCTACACCTCTACTCTCCCACACTGCTGTTCCCAGCAGCTGTCTCCACTTTTGGGTTATTTTTAAGACCATCTTTACTTTTCCCAGCCCCCCATTTGGCTGAATCAAGCTGCAACAATGACACTGGGCCAGTCAAAAAGATCAGGAGGAAATTATCAGAAGGGACACAATGTTCTGCAATGACTTCTCCTGGATCCCTGGGGTAAGGGTGAATCTCTAGGGATTCACCACCATCCACAGTTTAAGCACAGATTTTTCTTACTGGCCACAGAAAGAGGATATGACACCAACCCATGGAGGCAGAATGCATGGGAAAATATTCAAATTCATGGGATTGACACAGTGTCCTGATCCTGTCTCCGTCAGTGGCAGTGGCACAAACACCAAGTTCTCCCTGACTGCTGAGCCCACAGCCTTTGGCAAAGGTCACCTGCATTGTGCCTCTTCCATAGAAATTGAGCCAGAGAGCACCAAAGAGATGCTCTCAAAGGTTTTTTTTTAGCATCAAACCTCAGATCTTTTAGTGCTGTCCCCTGCCTCCACATGAGTGGAGCACAGCCCTACCAGCTGATGCTCCTCCATCCAGAGTGGACATAATTCCTTTCCAGCATAAATCCCAGCCCTGCCCAATCTGACCCTAGAAGACAAATCTGTCCCTATCCTATGGGGCTGTGACTTCAGGAACCCCTTGGCAAATGTTGGGCAGTGTGAGCAAAGCAGCTCTGAGGGCCATTTGCAGCAAAAAGTAAATTAACTTCATTTTTCTTCCTCTTAGGTCCATGAAAAAATGTGGTGCTCTGTCTTCAGCATCCTTCAGCCCCAAATCTGGCAAAGAGAGGAAAGGAATGACTGAGATCCCGTTCCTTCCTCATGCCAGTGGGTTGTGATAAAAGTAATAAAGTAATATTTCCACCTTGTGGGCTTTCAGCATGTAATAAATACCTACTTAATTTCTACTTAATTAATCAACATTAAATTTCACCCAGCTCCAACATTGATAATTCTTAACCCTATTTCCAAACACCAATGTACAGAACTGGTGTAAACAGTTTTATTCCAGGTCATCTGTTTCCTTCTGTTATTTTATTTACTTGAGGGTCTTTCAAACCTTTCCTAGCATTGGTTAAGTGAAGACAACTTAAGAAGAATTAAGAAAAAAAATAATCAATGTCATTTCACCTGAAATTCATTGTTCCCGGTCAAGCTGGTGGCAAACAGGCTTCTATAATTAGACTTTAAAATCCATATTCAGGCCTGATCTTCAATCTTTAGCAACATGATGCTTCCTCTTATGTCAGTGAAAACCATTCACTGCTCTGTGCTTTTGAAAATCAGGCTAATTTATTTATTTAAGAGCTTAATTTTGGATACAGGAGCCTAACTTTGGGCTTTTTTTTTTTTTGAATGCTGGTTATTTTTATATAAGAGTGTGTGTATTTGTGTGTATTTTTAGTTCTAAGTCTCATCACTTCAAGAGATAGAACTAATTTGGGGTTGGGAGGGGGATTGGGGTGATGTTTTTAATTTTTTTTTATTTTTTTTTTTTAGTGCACAAAGGATTGGCTGTCCCCTCCCTCCTGGCAGGGCTCCCAGAATTCCTGTTGGTATAATTACCCTCACTCTTATTTACTACACATGTCACAGCAGCACACGAACTGCTGGGGTCAAAGTCACTGCTGTCCCCGCTCCAAAGTGCCTTTTTAAGGAGCCAAATCCACCAAATGTGGTCAAATAACCTTTGGAAAGAGCTGCAGGAGCCCACCAGGAGGGAGAAGAGGAGATGCGATGCTCCTGCTGTAAAAACACAGCCCACCCAGAGCTCTGTGGACAAAGCTGCTCCATGGGGATGACAGGGGATGGATTCTGGAGGCTCTGGTTTTGTGGCATGAAATGAAGCAGTCCCCGGCCAGCTGCAAGGCTCAACTCTGTGTGGCTACATCCATCTAGTTGGCCCTGGCCAAAACTTCCAGGGTTTGTGTTGATAATTTTACAGGGTGAACTATTGCAGGGTTGTGCCTGAGCCTTGGCAGGGTTGGATTTGCTGAGGTGGCACCAGGAAATGTAGGAGGAT